TACACGTCATCTAATGTCCTGACTGCTGCTTCCATTGGCATCGATTGTAGAACCAAGCAACGTGAATTCTTTGACAACCTCAATCTTCTCTCCATATATATCGATGTATGTTGTTGTTGTTATGTGCCGTCAAGTCGGCCCCGACTCATAGCAACCACTCCTTGGGTTTCCGAGGCAGTATCGCTACGGAAGTAGGATTGCCCAACCTTCCTTCCGAGGAGTGGCTGGTGGGTTTGAACCGTCAGCCTTCTGATTAGCAGGCAAGTGACTTAGCCACTATGCTACCAGAGCTCCCATAACATTGAGCAATTCAGCTGCAAGGGACCTATTTCAAGTGCTGAACAGCAAAGATGTCTCCTTGAGGACTAAGGTGCACCTGACACAAACCATGGTATTTTCAATCACCTCATATGCATGTGCTGGACAATGAATAAGGAAGATTGAAGAAGAATTCATGCTTTTGAGTCATGGTGCTGGTGAAAAATGCTGAAAGTATTATGGACTGCTAAAAGAACTAACAAATCTGTCCTGGAGGAAGTGCAGCCAGAATGCTCCTTGGAAGTGAGAATGGCCAGACTTTGTCTCACCTACATAGGTAATGTTGTCAGAATGTCATGCTTAGTAAGGTAGATGGTTGATGAAAGAAGGGAAGGTCCTCAATGAGATGGATTGACACCATAGCTGTGGTGATGGGCTCATATATAGCAAGGATTGTGGAACTGCTGAGGAGCAATGATGCCTAACAACAACATATGCAAGCTCACTTCTAGGTATTTATCCTAGAGAAATAAGGACTGTGACCAAAAAAAAAAAAAGAAAGAAAAAAGAAAAAGAAACATGAAATCAAATAGAACCAAAGCCCCCAAACACCAGCAAAGGTAGTGACAACCTAGGAACCAAACTATGAACATGCATGTCACAGATGGAAATAAAGGGACTCACAAAGCAAGCTCGGCTCTGCTGCTGCACATTGCCACATGGAGATATTTGCAACAGAGCAGGAGGACAGAAGATAAAGGGGGATTGGTGCCTCGCAGGTTTGCCAGGCTCAGTCCCTCCTTTCTTCCAATGTCACCATGACCTGTGCTGAGCCCAGCATTGTCTCTGTCAGACAACCTGCAGTGGTAAGAGACCCCACCTCCTCAAGACAAGTAGCAAGCATTTCCCCAGGCATGCCAGTACCTCTCTGTTTTGCTTTGCTTTAGGATCAGGGGTGATATTATTCTAAATCAACATCACATTGAAAACAAAGAACCATCAAACTCACTTTTCCAAAGGAAAATCCCAGGTAGAGGCTTAGGACAAAATCCAATTGAATAAAGCAAAAAAGAAGAGAAAGACAGACAGAGAGACAGAGCAAGAGAAAGAGCGAGCTAGCTTTGCCTTGTGCTTTTCCCGTTTGACATCTGTTACATTCTGCCTGAAAATCACTGGAAAGCCCCACTCACCGGTTTTCTGCTGGTTGGGTGGAGATGCTGAGAGAAAGAAAACCAATCTCTCTATGCCTTTGTTGTCTGAGCTCCAAGCAAGAAATTCCTGCCAGGGTGGATAGATGCCTTCTAGGTCCTAGTGCCTTGTCCAGCTTCTCCCCTGTAACTGGGGCTTAGTGAATCCCCCCCCCCCAACATCCTATGATTAATTACAGGCTTTTTTTTCTTCAAATCACAAGCTGCATTAACAGCTAGAAAGGTTTCATTTATAACCAACAGGAAATTGCAGGGTAGCAAAAAGATTGCACAGGCAAGTTCAGAATGCTCTAATGAGCAACGTGCTAGCCCTTTCTTTTAGAGAATTGGAAATTTCACTTGGCCAAAACCTGGGCCTAATCTTCCTGGGGGCCAGACTCAGACAGCCAAATCAGGGTTCTAAGAGTGTAGCTCTCTTCCTATCACTCTCTTGAGAGAAAACAATCAAATCTGCAAATTCTTTAAGACATTTTAGCTCATTTATCGAAGAACTGGTTGTTTTTTCATTGGAGGTAGTGGAGTAGAGTAAGAGGGAACAGGAAAGGGATCTGACAGCAGGGAAATAGCTCCAAATTTTCATGGAGAGTGATGTTTAAAAGGGCCCCCCAAAGATCTCTTAATTTGGTATAAGAATTTTTTAACACTATCTATGGCCTTTACTTTTAGTTTGGCAGTTCAGATCCAACCCAGAGATCTTTCCATGTGAAGAGAGTCTGATGACTACAAAATGAATATTAACAGATCTCTCCTCAAACTGACTATTTGCCACTAACTGTCTTCTTTATATCAAGTATACTATGAAAGGCAAGGGACCATCCAAATTGAACTCATTGGATCAGATCAATTATGGACAAAAGAAGATAAAGGTAAGGGATTAAAGGGGGACTGGGCTTCCCTCCATATTTACAATTGAGGTTACATGAATTAATATGTTAATCTTGAACTAATTAATATGTAATAGGCATGGTTCCATTTTTACTTGGCTTCCAGGAAGCTCAGAATTAATAGCATGTACATTAAATATCTTATATATGATTCCTAGTACAAATAATCCTCCCTTTTATATTTAGTTGTTATTCTCTTTATGTTTAAGTACTTTCTGTGTATGTGTTTTACTGTAAGCTGCCTCAAAGTAGGGTAAAGTATTATTCTCTTCCTTCCCTGGAAAGGAAAGCCTTTGCTATATATGTTAGTTGGTTAGACAGGCTCAAGTGACCAACTTGCCCACTCAAGTCCTCCCAATACCTTGTTACTGCTCTTCTGGTTCTTAAGTAAGTGCCTGAAAAGAATACATGTGTCTGCTCTGTTCTCTTCCATGAGTTGCTGCCTTACATTGTGGCTACCCCTTGGTAAATCAGGGTTATTCCGATCAGAAGTACAGAAATATCAAGGAAGATGAGCAGGGAAATATGGAAAATTCCAATCAATGGCAGACCAGCAGCTGCAATTTACTTGCCCCTCAAGTCTTAAAACTTCTTTCTTGTGTATAAGTAGGATTCAGTAAATATACAGCAATTGATTTTGCATCACAACATAAAATCATTTTATTTTCAGTGAGGTAATAAGAAAGGATGAGTGATAAAACTTAACTAGGAAAGCTTTGGAATAGATTTTAGGCGACACTTCCTTATGATATAGGCTTTACAACACTACTGTGGCAGCTGCAAAGTCTTTAGGAGACAGCCTAGGATATATGACTTCATTTTACATGCACCACAGAGCAGAGGGATGAACAAGATACCAGTATTTCCCAGTGTGAAGTATGTGCATATTAAAAGGTGTTCTGTAAAAACAAAAGGAAAAAAAAAAGGTTCTGTGGTCAAAGTTTTTTAAGAAGTGATGGGCTAAACCAAGTTACAGTTTTCTTTATTGCAAGACTTCTCAGAGCATTTAATACTTAAAATATGCCACACGACTCCAAGAAGAAAATAAGACAATTTAGTATAAAGGGAACACCCCCCTTTTTCTTCCTAAATCAAATTGTAAGTCATTTTTCCCCCAGAGCATCCCATAGGCTAATATTCTGTGGAAAACTTTTACAAAACCTTGACTAGATCATCACATAAAGATTTTTCTTTTCAAAGAACTCTCAGCTACTCATCAAGATCTTCTTCACTTTCTCAGAAGAGAAGGGTACTGAATGAAGAGAAAGTCTCAGTCATGAGTCAAGTGGAAAACTGTATCTGTATGTATGAAAGTCACTTAAAGTT